ATATATACTCACTTCTGGTGTGGTGCTGTGGCAGTTCAAACTCACCAGTCACTCCTCAGAAACCCTATACAGGGTTGCTATGGGTTGGAACCAACTCGATAGCACTTAACAACAATATATTAAGGATTCCTGGTGTGGCGCTGTAAGATAAGCACTGACTACTATCCTCAACAACATATTATATTTAAAAAATGTTCAAGAAAGCAAACTTAATCCCAGTCTACCTTTGCTTAGTAACAAAAAATAATAACATTCACATAATATTGAAAACACAGAATATGTACTTTATAAAACATTTGATAAAATTAAGGGCAAGGGAAATATGTGTAAGGGAGATAAAATCCTCATCTGCCACAATTGGAAGCTAATAGATGCAGAGCGGGTACAAATTGGGCTGTTAATCTCACGATCAGCAGTTCGAAACTACCAGCCATTCCATGGGAGAAAGATGAGGTTTTTCTCCTCCCATAAAGATTTACAGCCTTGGAAACTCTATACAAAACTTCTAAGATTTGGAACCAACTCCATGGCATGCCACCACCACCACCAAAATCGATACATCCAGAAATAGTAAGATTATATTATCTAGAAATTATGGCAGTGAATATAAATATCAGTGAAAAACCAAAAAAATTTCAGCTGCATTGAGTTGATGTTGCTGATCAGAAATTCAAAGAGCGAGAATTAACCTTTAGACTTAGCAATGTGGTGATGACCTTGACAAGGGCTGTTTCAGTGGAGTATGAGAATGAAGCCTGTAGGGGAGCAAGTAGGTTGAGGAAAAGACATCAACAGTGCAAATTGACAACAACTAATGGAGTTTTGCTATAAAGGCGATAAAATAAATGGGTCAATAGTTAGTAGGGGAAATGGATGAAAGCTTTTTAAGATACGAGAAATATCAAGTGGGTGTAAGGAATTACCCAGCAGAGAAATAGAAATTGATGATGCAGGTAGAAATTGCTAGAGTGATGGCATGGAGGAGATGAGACGGGATAGGATCTTGTGCATTGGAGGAGAGCCTGGCATCTTATTAGAGTGTGGGCAGTCAACATGCTAGCTGGAATGAGGGTAACTAGAGGAGTGGTGGTAAGAGCTGTAAGCTTGTAATTTTTCCAGTCCAGGAGAAATCCAGGTAGTAAACTGGGAGTGAGGAAGGGTGAGGAGGGGTTGCAAGCTGGATATAAGAGGAATGAGAACGATTGTGCAGAAGAGTGAGAGAGTGAAGGGACTAAGAAAACACTGTATGACTGCCATATTCAGATTTATGCTCATGATTTTTGACCAAGGCCAATCATGTAGTTGTACTTGAATATTTTCTCCAGCCAGGCTCAGCTGCTTGACTGCAGGCACAAACTAGGCAGAAGCTGGATTTATACAAGGGTATGTTTTTCCCATGTGAGCTTGACTAAGACAGAGAGAAGCAAAGGAATTGATTGGCTCAGGAATTTAGACTGAATAAGAAAAGAAAGGAGGACTACATGGAGATGAGGAACTGACAAAAGTGAGAGAATCAATAGACTAGGGATTCCAGTGGTGTTGAAGGATATCAGAAAGATTAATCAGTTAGAATCCCACTCACTCTTTTAAGTTCCACTCAAGTCTGTCTCTTTCATAACATAGTCCTTGGCATCCAAGGATATGACCTCTCACTCTATTTAATCCCCATAAGAATTTTGTGTTACGTTTATGATCATTGGTATATTTGCCCATGTATTTGTCTTATCTTGCCCTAATCTAACCGAAATGTAGGTTCTTTTAGAACAGGGGCTAGAATTTATTATCCTTTGTGTTCCTAAATCATTTCTAGAGCAAATCCTTGACCCCAGACTCTAAAAAATAAAACAACAACAACAAAAACACAAACCCTGCAGACTTGAAATAAGTTGAGATGCAAGAAAGATTGCAGTTGTTTCTGATAGGGTTCCTGGGAACTACACTCTGAGATGCAGTTTACTATCAGGCCATTTCTTAGAGAGTGGCCTTGGAGTTAACACCTGTGGAAGAAAAGGGACGGGAAAGGAATTGAGAAGGGAAAAAGTGGAGCTGTGATACAAACTCAAAACTAGCTTCAACCAACCTCAGGGAACTCTGGAGGTAGAGTGACTTCTAAGAGTAACACATACCACCTGTGCTTATCAGTCATTGGCTGTAGGACACTTCAGAAGAGGGCAGCTGAGGCATCTGTGAAGCCCTCAGCTAAAGGTTGTCTTATTTGAAAGGGGCAACAAGTCCTTTCAAAGGAGGAATGAGGGGTTCTCCACAGCATCCATCATGACTTCTACATAGTTTCAAAGTTCTGTGAGGAGTCAGAAAGAAAACCAAGAGAGACTTCTCTTTTCAGAGGGAGTGGGAGAAGGTGAGGTTTATATGGGTAGAGATTGTAGGAGATATGATGATTTTGAGAGGACATGGTGAGAAATAAACTTAAGCATATTTTCACTTGCTTCGGTATCTTCCTTCATGACATACCTGTATTTTCTGCACCATTGATGGGAAAGCTCATAATTTTTAAATATCACAGCATGTTTCCTAATTTTTTTTTTCCAGGGTACTTCCAACTCCAGGCCAGATCTCTCACTTCAGTTAATTTTCTTTGATGGAGAAGAGGCTTTCTTTCACTGGTCTCCTCAGGATTCTCTGTACGGGTCTCAGCATTTAGCTTCAAAGATGGCAAGGACCCCACATCCACCTGATATAACAGACACAAACCAACTACAAGGCATGGTTAGTCTGACTAATTTCCATAGCACTATAGCTGCAGGCTCTGAATCAAAGGAAGAGTCTACTTAATTAATCCTAGTAAAGACCTACAAATGCCATGGTGTCCTAGGAGCAGAGGGCTTATAATACAATATTCTTTAGCAGTTGTTGGGTTTTTGAGTAAACCCAGAGCCCAAAAGAATGATTTTAGGTTAGAAGCTATGTTTGAGCTTAATTTTAATGATATTTTAAAAAAATCAGATGAATGACACTTTGGATTCTGTTGAGACCAATGGGGGCATGTTCCTTAGCACTGTACAGAGGTGGAGAGAGCTAATCCCCTCTTAGGCATAACACTGTGGAGTCCTGGTGTAGTTCTGTACCAACAGCACTGGACAGCAAGATTGGTTTGAACTACAATGGTCAGTGATCCAAATCCACAAGCTGCCCCTTGACAACTCTGTACAGGGTTGCTGTGAGTTGAAACTGACTTGATGGCACTGAACAACAACAAACAATAAGGTATTTATAGATCTGGTAGCTGGCACCTTGATGAATGGAGTAGGTATGGGATGAGAGTGAAATATAAGATTAGAATGAAGAATGGCCTCAATATCTTCAAAGAATTATAGTGATTTTAGTGTGTATGCAACATTTTGATGTGTTGGTTTTTATGTGGCATTTTTGACATGGGTGTGGGGACATTTTGATGCTGCCTCAAAACCCTGCTCTTATTCTCAAGTATTAGGTGCAACTGCCTTGTTGCAGTCTTGACTTCCCTTCCTATTCCTGGCAACACACCCCATCCCCAATTACTCCCATCCTTCCTGAATCCACTCCCCACTCTGACTCTCTTTCACCTGTATTCTGTCCTTGAGCCCTCACCAACCTCACTTCAGAACCTTATGCCACCTTTGAGACTTCACTCTACTCTGTGCCCTCATTCCTCCTGATTCTTACTCCAGTTTTGAACTGATAACCTATTTCTTACTCCTCTACTCATCCCTGTCCTTGCCCCATAACTAATCCTCATCCCAATTCTTAATTCTGTTTATGAGTCCCCAAATGAATTGACTCTAACACACTTTGTTGTTATTCTCTCTATCCTAGTCGTCCATTGGCAGCTCATGATGAGTGGATGTGGTCAGCACCTCATTCACTTGTCCCCATGTGGTTAAAGGAGCTCAGAAGAGAAGAACGCTGTTGATAAATAGTATAAACAAAATTATTTATCAGTTTAAACATGGAAATGCACATATTGATGGTTAAGAACAATTTTTCTAGAACAAACTCTTAGCTTATTCAACCTTGTGAATATGCTATTTTAAACAAGTCTATTTTTTTAAACAATGAACATATTTAAACCTCATACATGAATTCATAATCCTATGTCTATAGAATCATAGACTGCAAATACTTATCTACTATGCATGAGACTCTATGTTCAATTTGAATCCATACATAATCTCATGATATAATTCAGGAGTTTTTAATATTGAGGGTGATTTTCAGAGGGTTCTCACACTTACTGATGTTTTATGGAGAAATACACACACACATATATGTGTACACACATACACACATGGTGGTAGTGGTGGTTATGTGCTGTCGAGTTGGTTCTGACACATAGCGACCCTGTATAGGGTTTCTGAGGCTGTACATCTTTACAGGAGCAGAAAGCCTCATCTTTCTCCCATGGAATGAATGGCTGACAGTTTCGAACTGCTGACCTTGAGGTTAGCAGACCGACACGTAACCACTACGCTATCAGAATTCTCTCTCTCTCTCTCTCTCTCTCTCTCTCTCTCTCTCTCTCTCTATATATATATATATATATACACACACACACACACACACTTTTTTTTTTCTTTCCTAAGAAATTCCAAGAGCTGATTCCAAGAACAGTCAGTGGCTCAAATAATTTAAGGAACACTGACTTAATGATAAAGGCTTCAAAACAGAAGGGATCTTTATAGGTAATCTAGTTTGATATTATTTAATAGACAAAGAAACTTAAATCTAGAGACATAGTCATATAGTTCCTAGCGAGTCAAGGAATTTTTCTTAACTGCTTCTGTGAAGAATAACTAGTTGGACTCCTGTGTGGCACTGTTTAGTCAGCACTGGACTGCTAGGTTGGCGGTTCAAACCCACCAGGGACTCCTTGGTAACTCTATATAGGGTCACAAGGAGTCAGAGTCAATTTGATGGCACTTAACAACAATACCAACAACATCCAAGTGCCCTCCTATAGGCTATTGACTAGTGAGAATGGAATAGAAGATCAGCCAGGCTTGGACTCCCATTTGAAAATAAAATAACTGTATTCTTATTTCTCTATGAAATATTCACTGAACACCCCCTTTCTAAGTTTTCTCTAGTGACATCTTTTTTGGGATAACATATGTTTAAGTAAGACTGAAAATGTTCTCCAGAATAATTAACATACATTATTAAAGCTTTTGTTCATTTATACACTTTTTCTCGTGTTCTCAGTTTTTAAAATGTAGTCTGTTTTGACTATCTTCCCTACCCCTACCTGTATTGAATGTGAAAAGTGATAAGTAATCCTTTTCTCTTTTAGGATTTACTGGTCTTATTGGATTTAATTGGTGCTCCAAATCCAACATTTCCTAATTTTTTTCAACAGTCTGCCAGATGGTTTTATAGACTTCAAGAAATTGGTAAGCACCACTATTTTAAATAATAAAATGTGGCTTCTTCCTAGTTACAAATACTACATTTTAAATTTTAAAACTTATGATTTAGATGCATGACTTAAATATATAATATACTTTATTGGTATTTTTCTTTATTGATTAGTTTACTATTCATATCCATCTCTTTTGTAAAGTATAGTGGCTCTGTAGGATAAACACTGGACTTCGAATCACAAAGTTGGAGGTTTGAGCCGTTCTGAGGGAGAAAGATGAGGCTTTCTGTTCCATAAAGATGACCGCCTTGGAAACCCTACATAGGGTTGCTATGAGTCAGAACAGACTCGAGGGCACTCAACAATAACAACATTCATCTCTTTTAGTATGCTTACTTTATTTTCCTGCCTGGAACTACACATTGAATTGGAAACATAAAATACTATGTTTCTCATTTGCATATCCTTGGAAATAGTTTAAAAATGTATTTCCAGAGTTCTATTTGAAAAATATGGAATGCAGTTGTAGGAAACACTTTATTCACCAAAGCATATTGGTTAATGATGCTGAATTTATATCCTAATAATAATTCTAAAAGATATTCTTTACTTTAAATTTATTTTCCATCTCTGTTTTTGTCAACATCTATCTTTTACTTTATCCAGGCATTTTTTCTTTCAGTCTGGTATCATCTCTGTCTACATTCCACAGCTTTTTGTTTTCTCCTTGAGCATAGGTGAGCGATCAGGATGTGAGAGAAGCCAGAGCCTTCAAAAATCATTTAAGAGAGAACCATTTAGTGTTAAATAATTGGGAGTGATTTAGGCCTTATCTTTGATATCCCTTGTGAGTAAAGTTTTACTAAAGGCAATACGGAAACAGCTACAATCATACATTGATAGAGAACTTCCAAAGGTTCAAGCCAATTCAGAAGAGGGCTTGGAATGAGGGGTATTATTGTTGTTGTCCGATGGATCTTGGCTGAAAGCAGAGAATATCAGAAAGATGTTTACCTGTGCTTTATTGACTATGCAAAGACTTTCGATTGTGTGGATCATGACAAGCTATGGACAACATTG